GATATATTAGAATCTGCCCTTATATTACAGCCAAAACCATTCGCACTATAACAAATAAAACCTTTCGATAATCAAACTTTACCTGCCACATATCTGACTCAGTAACCATTTAACAAAGTATTTTCAATCATTTCAGATGGAACTATTCACATACTTGTATTATATCGAACTGAAATTCTAATATTCACCACTGTTTGACGCCAAGTACCTTTTTGCTCTGATCACAGTGTCAGGACTCCTGTCTTTGTGTTTGTGTTTCTGTGTTTGTCTCCCTTCATCAGCAGGAGGTGCCTGGTTCTGGTCCGCCTCCTCACACACCAGCTGATGGTTTCCTCATTAAATGGAGTGTTCTTAAGCTGCTGACTGCCACTACCTCGACGCCAGAGTGTTTGCCAATACTGGGTACTCTAGCCAAGCTTAGTTTTTGCTGAGTCAAGCTGAGCTTTTTGTCAACCCAAATTTAACTTTATTTTTGTCTGCCTCTTGGCAGGAAGTCATCCTGCAAACTGTATTTCTCGGACCTTCCCTCCCTGGAAGGATCAACTGAGCTTCAAACTGAGCTTGGGTTCAATCAGGAGGTTTGGATCCACTTTCCCCAAGAGATCGTTTGAGCTTCTCACTGAGAAAGGGATTATTCTCCACTACGACCCGTTCAAGTACCGCAGGAAATCTGAGTGGCAGTCAGTTCCTCCGTTCACCAACTAACAACCGCATTCTGGGTAAAACCTGTTCCGCCCTCCACCGAATCAGACAAACACTGGAACCACGGCACACAGACAGGAGTCAAGGATTCAACAACTTCTCTGGAAACGTGAGTCGGCAATCAAATCCTCTTCTCCAAGTTCACAAGTCAAATTCCCCAATGATCCTGAACTAACCGCTGTGTCTTGCCCTCACTTTACAGTTCCGGTTGAGCAGTGTTCAGAGCAACACTTCTCCCTCCTTTTAACCTCTTCAATTAAACCTGTTAATCCTTTTCCCTGGTTTCTGTTCGGTTTTCTGCTTTTGGGTCTGAACTTTGTAAAATCATGACACACGGAGCAGCTGGCTTGCGCATCGCAATGAATGATGGAATATCCGAGGCTACATAGGACACACCGGAACCCATCCTTCAAATCGGGGCAAAAAGGAGGAAGCATTTGTAGGCTGCATAACGAGGAGCCTTGGAATCCGATCAGACCTCGGATTGTTCTACGAATCTGGCCTTCGGAGTACGCATCCCATTAATCTGAATTCCGCCCACATCTGCTGTAGCTCAGTTAAAGAACAAGACTTAAACTCACTGCAGTGGGATCGATATGACAATTATAAAACAAACTATTGATTGTATAAGTAACCCATTATGCCACATTTTCAATTTGTCTTTCATTTCAGTTTTTTCCCAAATAATATATATATATATATATATAACAATTTGTTTAATAAGAGTCAGTTTGGGTTTCGAAAAAACAGGTCCATAGCCTTGGCAATATTGAAATTCACAGAGCATATCACCACAGCAATAGAAAATAAGCAAAGCTTGGTGAATTTATTGATATAAAAAAGCCTTTGACACAATATACAATTAAATTTTGTTACAGAAATTACCATTTTTTTTTTGCTTTGGTTTTTTTGTTTTGTCAAAACATGACCTTTTAGTGTGGCTTGTAGTTAAATAGTAAATTGCGCATCAGCCCATCTTTTGAGAAAGGGGCACATATTATACCTTTTGTCATCTTTGTACTCCTTTTCTACTCGTGTTAAAACATACAAGGTGAAGCTATTCCTGAAATTGTAAAAACAAAAAAAAGCAAATGACATAACTGAAATAAGAATGAAATGAAATGAAAAGGCCTGCAGGATACAGAATTCCATAATGTTGATGTAGTTAATGGTTGTAAGGCGGTGCTGGGGGTTTCTGTTCATATGATGCAGAGACTTTTAAGGCTGAAAACAGGGTAGATGATGTCATTTCATTTAGAAATTTACCCACCGAACAAACATTTTTTGAAAAGACGACATGATTAACGTCCAAGTGTCGGTTTGCATCATCTTTTCAAAGTCTATTATTGTAATAAAATGGGACAAAATCAGACCGACCAAATGGCCCCAATTTCAACCACTATCTGGACTAAATCAGGACTTTGACGTATCGACAAGATGTAGCATAAAAACCAACATCTTAATGATGTCTGGTGTTTGGGTTGGTAAAAGCAAACAAATGGGACATATAATAACCGGTGGAGGACTTTATACATTTGACCCATTTCAGAAAGAACAGCTGATGGAGAACACCCCAGGCCCAGAGCTACTTGTTTATTTAACAGAAGGAAAAGATGGCATTCTTACTCTGCTCTTCATGCAGCTCCTCTTATTTCAATTTGATACTTAAATGCAGCGTCCAGTTGCACCCTCTTTCTCTCTCTGTCCTTTCCATTCCTCTCATCCAACTACCTGACTACTTTGGCAGTGAAAGCCATTTTCTCATAGAATTGGTGTCATTGCACAGAGAGAGGACTTCAACAATGCCTGCAGGACGGTAACGATTATATTGGAAGTGTTTTATTATGAAGATTATGTTGGTTTTGGTTTCTTAATGTACTGCGCTAATAAGCGACCAGCACTGTGCTGCCAATGTCCAGACATTTTGGCTTTAATCTAATACAAGCGCAGAGGAAAAAGAAAAAAACTGTGAAAAAAGGCTGCAAGACACCTTGTATAAAACAAGACAAAATCTGATTACTGATGTTATCTCAATAAATTAAACACAAGACCTAAGGTTCTACATTGTTCTGTAAAATATCTTGGATAGGGATGCACCGATCTGTCAGTCAGACAGAAATTAGACACATTTCCTTTGATAAGCAAAATAAATACTTAAGTCAGATTCCACCCTATTACTGGAAATACCCATGTCACCTCTGCCTTTTGGTTCAACACCAAAGGTTGAAACAATGCCATAATAAAGGCTCCCGTAATGCTTCAGCATCATCTGAATGTGCATTCCAAACAGCATTCAGAATCTGATCACCAGATTTAGTGGAAACCCAAAAATATCCTGCACAAATCAAAAAACTGCATCATATGAGGATTCCTGCTCTCACTTTCTCTATACCAGAGGTCTTCAACAGGGGGTCTGCCACCCCTAGGGGGTCCGCGGAGGTGCTGCATGGGGGTCGCGAAAGCCTTGGTTGATTACTTTTTTTTATATTCCCTCCTGCAATTTTTTGCACTAATTAAAATGTCTTTAAATCCACATTAACATGAATTCAACACACTGTAGTAAACAGATAAATGGAGGCAGAAGATGTCTTTCAGTCATCAATGCACACATTCAGCGACACACAGGAGCTCTTTCAAACCTGGGCACCGTTTCATTCACAACACCTGTCCCATCAACCAGGAATCAGATTCAGAAATACTTTAATAATCCCAGGGAGGAATTACTTTCGTTACATGACTCCATATTTAATAGAGTGACTATAGGACCAGGTTGATAGAACACTATTTCATACAATATATATAATTAGGGGGTCCCCTCTCCATCTCGCCATCAGTTTGGGGGTCCTTGGCTTTGAAAACGTTGAAGACCCCTGCTTTATACTATTAGCACATTGCTACACCGTCAACCCAGGTGCAACCAAAATAAGCATATTACAAAATTTTATGCAACATTTCTGCAGATGTTGTACTCAACTGGATCCCTGGGTGCTTGAAAACCTTTTTGAAACTGATAGCATATTTCAACTTCACAATTAAATAAACAAATGGCTGTGTATTCTTTTAGGGTCTCTTATAAGCAGAGGTGGAAAGAGTACTAAAAAATTGTAATTGAGTAAAAGTATCTTTACTTTACCTAAATTCTACTCAAAGTAAAATTACCCATCTCAAAATTTACTCAAGTAAAAGTACAAAAATACTTCATTTAAAATGTAATTTGAATAAAATTTACTTAGTTACTTTAAGGTTTTTAATGCAAAAAAGGATGAGTCATGAATCGAATTAACCACAAGGTGTTTTAATCGATTTTAAGACGTATTTTCAGTGGACATCCACACTTGCTAAAGATCAGCTGGGCTAAAGAACATCACAACCTGTACCATAAAGGGCAAACTATTTTCAATCCTACTGTCCAACAGACAACACCATGATAGGAATAAAGATATTTAAATCACGTTTTAAAGTTTTCAAAATGCACACAAAATTAAATGCCCAAAAGATACCAGAAATCAAACTAAAACGCAACAGGATCCCAGTGTTATTAACAAGCTCCTCATTTAATGATTTTAACTGATACTTGTTTTTACATCAATTGTTTATATGTTTGAATTGTGTGAATAAAGTGCTGTTAAAAGTCAAAAGTCTTCTTCTATTTTTTTAATGGCGATTAAGTGTTGGTTCCGTGACACGGGGGTTTAAATTTCCAGCCGTATTTAATTTTTTTACCATCAGTATTTTTTTTGTTGTTTACTCAATAACATGAGGGGGTTTTAAATGTAGCAAAGTAAAACTACTTAGGTGGAAATTTACTCGAGTAAAAGTAAAAATTACATATTTCAAAAACTACTCAGAAAATTACAAATTACTCATAAAAAGTACTCAATTACAGTAACATGAATAAATGTAATTCGTTACTTTCCACCCCTGCTTATAAGCTATTGAAATTACATCCCCAAGGAGTAATATTAAAACTAGAAGTCAAAGAAATTTACATTAAATCTATACAGATAAACTTCACACCTTTGATCCCAATACATACGAAGGTGATAAGTTAGGAATATCACGCGATTGTATGTTTTTTTAATGCAGAAGCATATTTGTTAAGATCTGATAAATGTTAATGTAGATGCATTAATATAGATACTACAACTTTTACTCTGGATCTTATGAAAAAAAACAGATTCACTGCTTCAGATCTAAACAAAAAGCAAAACAGAAATCCATGTTGGCCAGGGATAGCTTGATAGGTCCATACGTAATGCGAACAGTATATCAGGTTGATGTGACATTACAGTACTTACAGTGTTCCTTTGGACTGTGCAGAATGTCACTCACTGGGAAATTGTTACCGTCAGAGGCTTCAACTCCACCGTAGCACCTATAAAAAGGAGAGAAATAGAAATAGAATTTACAGTTCCGAGAGAAACATTAAAATAGGACCAATGTGCAGAAATAATAGCCGGTTTGATAACATGCTAGAGAGCCTCAAGCAGGAGTAGAGGGCTTTGGCGTTTTCTTCTTCATGGTCTGTTTACTAATAAGCTCAGCCCCCCAGCTTTGCCTGGCTGGGGAACCTCATTAGCCAATCATGCAACATGCTGCAACCTCTCAGCCTGCCCATGCACCGCTATAAGTGCCGTATGCTTAACCGACACCAACACACCAGCCCCAGCCAGGCCTTGGCCTTGCCCAGAATCACCCACTAGCTGGATAACGTGCGGTTGTACACCGGATTACTGAAAGCCTAAGGTGTCATGTGTGTGGGCGAAGCAGAGCATCTGCGTGTACTTGTGAGCATAAAAAATACCTTATTAAACATATAAGACACCATGACCCGGTTTGCACATTGGGCCACATACAGGCTGCTTGGCGTTAAGGTACGAGGCGGCTCATGCCAATTTCATGCATAGAGCACAGTCTTGTGGAGGTGGAGCGTCATAATAAAACAAGAGGTGGTTAGTCATCCATCTGTATCTCAGGCAGCAGAAAACAAAAAGGAGCGTGATGGAGGACAAAGAGATACATAGGCACTGTCCTCCAGGAGGATTGTGCCAATTAAAAGGCTTCACTCATTTTTGGCGGCTGCTGAGGAGCGATAATTCCCTATGAGGACACTAATCTCTGCGCGGGACCTTGCCAGGGACACATCCTTTATATTTTATGTCTAACATTTGTAATTACAGGCCCTGCCTTGGATCTGTCCCAGCACATGTTTGTGTGCTGGTGAGTAACCCAACTCCTCTCGCACACCAAAGGCAGATTGACGTCGGATCTGGGCAGTCGCTGTGCGAGTGTGGGTGTGTTGTTTGTAAGTACACGCATGTTGGTGACTCATGAGGTCAATATGAGTGGAGATAATAATCTGCAGTATTTTGGTTTATATTACAAGGCACTGTACAAGAGCACAACTTTTTCAGCACCTGGCAGAAGTACTGTACTCACGCCCATGCTATATTAAGTGACTAAAAAAGGGATACACGATTTTCAGGTTGTTTTTTTTCCTTTACAAATATTAATCTGTAAAAGAAATAATTGTTCAGCACATGAGTTGAATCTGTGTCAAACCACCTTCCTGTGGTGTTTCTACCATCATTGCATGGATATTGTTTTGCCCTTTATTTGTTGTGAAATAACTCAAGCTCATTCAGTTTGAATAGAGAAAGCACTTGATTAAAAACGTGTTAATGATCTAAATGGTTTCTTCTGAGACATGAAACGAATGTGATCTAAACCCAGGGTCAATGTGACTGTTTAGGCCCTTCACAGTGGGCCTCTATTATACTGGCCAATAGTGATAAAGAATTAACTGTTTTTTTTTTTTACTATAAGTATAATAAAACCAGTTGTATCTTTTTATTTTAACTTTGCATAGTATTTCCATATCAGAACAGCGCTGGTGCTACAGGGCTTATTTTTCTCTTTTATTCATTTATTTTCAAGCTTGTTGTTTTTGTTCTCTTTTATATGTACATATTTTTCTTTGTTGTAAAACTAGGAAGTTATATTGCTGGAGTAACATTTTCCTTTTAATTTACAGATTTTGTAGCTCTAGACAAATTTTCCTGTGAAGGCCAAAACTGCCTATTTGCATGTCAGTAAAGACAATTTCCCACATTAATCATGTTATTTTGTCAAACCAGCTTCCCTTTGCTGCCTAAAATTCTCACAATCTCACATTGTGAGAGTGCCACCATGTTTCACAGAATGGAAAAACATGGTGGTCGTCAGGTTGATCTGCAGAGTTAGTTTTCTTTCACTCTTTCAGGACCAGCCAGTTCCACCGTCAACAAACATATTGTTATTTAAGCTTTAATTACGGAATATGTTGAACCATTACTAAACCCATTGTGGCCTACAATTAAAAACAATAAAATGTCTCATAAGATAAAACAATTGCAGAAAAAAAATAAAATCAATAATAACGATCTTTTCTTTTTCTTGATTGATTCTGGAAAGAACAGGTTTTCTTGTGTGGTAGAGAAATACATTGATGTGCTGCAGTGGAGAAATAACATAATAAAATGTGTTTCCTTCAGCTTTTAATTTTTTTAAAGGTGGAATTGCTTTGGCAAGGCATGATATAAAGGATTTTTCCATAAATAAAATATAAATGCTTTGGTTTTGCTTCTTTGACTTTAAAATCCCATCATTACTTGAGTACTGAGTTACACGGTGGAAGTCGGTCAAAAACATCTACAAAAATGAGCATCAATAAGAAATCCAAAATCCCCTTGTGTGCATTTTCTACAAATGCAGCCAAGATCATTTAGCTCTTTGTTGATGAACAGTAAGAGAGTGATGAAGTGGAAGTGAACTCAGAGAGGGGGGGCTGAAAAGCATTTTGATAGCTGAGGAGTTGCAGACGAGCCTTTTCAACACTTCCAGTTCTACCTTCATGTTGAAATATGTTGCTGATTTTGCAATTTTTTTCTCTCCAACTTAATTGCCTTGGCGACAACGGCGGCCAAAAACTTGGGAAATATACAAGTGCTGGAAAAGAAAGAAGTTGAGTGAGTGCAGCTGAGTTTTATCTGGAATGTCGCTTTACCTGGCAGGTACATAAAGTATCTGTCCAGGCGATAAGTGCTGAAAGGAACAGACTTGTGACGTCACGTCACATGCATTTAAATACAAATAATCAACAGAAGTGCAGAGAGAAAATTTGTTTAGACGTTCAAATCCTTGCTTTATCAAGTAGGTAACATAATAAGGCTAGGTCAAATGAGCTAGGGAGGGGGTGAAAAACCACAAACGCCTTGACCTCACTTAAGTTACTGAGGTCATGATGTAAAGTAGGGGCCCGTTTGAAAGTCAGACAGGTCTTGTTTCAGAGCTTATGGAGGGAAAGAGGGATAGGTATGGGGCAGGAAAATCCACATCTGTCACCCTGAAACTCTCCTCCAGTCCAATATTATGTCATTATGACCGCGCGCGCCGTCTCTGCGGAGTTACTGTGGTTTTCAGGATAAATTACACATGACACTCCCAGCTGACACACTGATTAACACTGGGGGAATAAAATAGCCTCAAGCAGCCGTGAATGGCTTCCATATATAGGGGAAAAAAAACAACAAACGGACTAACAGAGATTGGTAAAAAAAAGTTAAGTGAACAGTTAAAATTTTAGTTTTTTTCTCTAAAATAAATAAGCGGTTTTGCATAAAAGCAACATCAATGAGTTGTTGGCGTATTGACCTTTAGCCCCCCACTGTATTTCCTTTCTCCCATCCATTCTGACTGGCCCAGTATATGTTGGGAATGATCCACTGCAGCCGATAGTGGCCACTGTAGATCCACTCATCAGCTTTCCCCACATTCCCAGTGCAGAAGGGTACGCAGGGAGAGGGGGTCTGGCTTGTCTCCTCCATGTAGACCTGATCTGAGTGGACTGGAGCAAAAGATATTTGAACTGTAGTTTCACAGCAGGTTTAACAATCTCTACAGAAAAAGAAAAGGAAAAGGCCTTCAAGTAGCTGCAGCAGTGATCTATATGATAGAATAAAAAAGTATAAGAATGAAAAAACTGGCCTTGCTGCATTTTCTGGCCCTAAAATCCAGCTTTGTGTTTTCCGATTTTTCTTTCTGTTCTTCAATTTATCTCATCTATAACTAAACCCATATAAAAATTGAGACTTTTTAAATTTAATTTAGTTGCAAATAGTATCATTTTTATATGGCTTGTAGATTAATATCCTTTTCAGAAGCAGTGGATGATCTTTAGATGTAAAAATCTGTGCTAAATTATCTTAAAGAGAAAGCTCATTTTCTTACTATAAGTTAAGAAATGCCGGTAATAAAAACCCAAGTTTCATTTAGAAATTAAAACCTTCACATTTAAAGCATTTTCCTTTATCTTTACAATTCGACTCTGGATTTAATGTCAAGAGCATATTAAATACAGCAGAAAGAATCAATGATAAAGCCTTTTTATCTATAAACCAACACAGCAATGATGGCTTTTTTCTGCTTGAGACACTGGTTCAAATACATCGACAGTGCATAGCTGCATAAACACAGAGCAACTGCACAACATGGGAATATTTAAAAATACAAGACATATATTTGACATTTTTGATTCTGAAACTGAAGTGTATTTTTTTTTTAATTATCTTTTGCAAAAAGCTATGTGAAATTAATATAATTTTTTTTAAACTAAGCACATGTGCTGTGATATTACAGCTTTAGTCTAATTACTTAGGAGTACATTTGCAAAAGTAAAGAAAATAAATGAGAAAGAGAGTTTATTAGAGAATGCTCTATAAGTTAATTATAACTTACAGATAAATATATGAAAATCCTTCTCAGACATCATTAAATCAAAAAACATTCATGCAACATAAACACCCACATACACCCACACACACACACTGCTTTGTTTTCATGATGTATGGGTACATTTCTTTGACTTACCCTAATCCTAACTATTACGAACATATACCTAACCCTAACCTGAACTGAATTCACACCTTAGTCCTAAACCTAAACCCAACTCAAAGAACAGAACTTTACCAAATGGGGAACAATTGAATGTCCCCATATATACATGTAGGATATTTTACAAAATATTTCCTCTACATTGTAAACAATGGTAAAACAAGACAGCCCCCCCCAAACACACACCATATATATAAATATATAAATGCAAATAAATAAATTAATTAGACATAACTATTAGTATATTAACCCTTTCCCAAACAAATATCTCAAAGTTTAATAAGTAGTCTCAAGGAAAAACAATTATCTAATTTTCATCCTAATTTAGGCACCCAAAGAGGGCCTATTAATTTTTATTAACATTATAAATATCTGAAAATTCACGATAAAAATATAATAACAAATGTTAAAATTTTATTTATTGGCCTAACCGAAAAAGCAACTTGAAAGAATTAAGGAACAAAAAGAAGTGGCGGATATATCTTTTTACATTAAGTGTGTTGTACATTTTTAACACGTTTCTTTGTTTTACAAACTAAGATTTATTGATTAACTATGCTCTTTTTTTTTACAGATTTTTTTAAGGTTGGATTTAAATTTGAACATTTATAATGTTTCTTTTCGGCAAATGGTAAAAATTCTAATAGAGAACAGAATCCCAGTTCAAGTTCAAGGTTAAAGTCTACTTCAGGTTCAAGTTCAACAATCAATAGCCTTCGCTTTAATGTCAGTTTTTTCGCAGCGTGTATTATGCAAAAGCAGTTTTTTGGAAAATACACAAAATAACAAAACAGGTTTTGCGGATTGAAGAATAAAATGGCTGACTGATGATGACTGGGGTCAGTCCCCGAAAGGCTGCAAACAGAAGCAACTATTGGATTGGATTAATTAATCATATAAAAAAACACTTTGTATATAAAAAAAATTGCCTGTGAATTTGTGCTTTTGTGTTTTGTCATGCATATTCTTTGATTAAATTAATCCAAAGTTAGCTGTTGTGCAAAGAAAAAAAAACAAAAAAAAACCTCAGGGTTGGCTAAAGCAAGCTATTCTCTTCGTCAGGTAGATTCTGAAAAGGGCAAACACTGAAACCACTCAGCAACCTACCATTTGCCTCTCTACATGCAAACCTCTTCTGGGATCGTGCCATTAACAGCCAAAAAAGGCCTGAGGGGTGGAGTACTGTGATACTCTGATTTCTGCCCACAGCTACTTAAGCAGAGCTAACACCGAGATGCATTTAGCACAATCACATAGCGATCTACGAAAAGCTTGAATTCCCCTGAAAAAGCTTTGGGTGACGTCAGCCCAGGTTTGTCCTTCAGGGATGTCTTCTGCTACGTTTGGCACTACAACACAACAACTTCGATGTTTATGTACTGTAAGAATCACAGAGCAGTAATGAACTAATGTAAAATATACACAAGAAAAGTTGATGGAATAGAAACTCAGAAATTTTAAATCTCAAATATTTAAAGAAACCTACAAATCCGGCTTGATGAGAAACATGCCCTACTCTCTGGAAACATATATAACAAATCTGCAAATACACACTGCAAAAAATATAAAATCATAATCTAAAAATATATATTTAGTTCAAATTGTTCAGTCAGATCTATAACTAATGCACAGAATACTCAATATATATTTGTTTTTAGAGTATACTTAATTAGTTGCCACAAAATTCAGCTAATATTGATATTTATCTTTAAATCTTGCATCAAATATATAGATCAACCCATCAGTCCAACCCACCCACCTATCCACCCACACACACCCACACAGACAAACACACACATGAACGCTGATTTGGTGTTTAAATTATTATTTAAAAGAAAAAAAAAATCTCTCTATACAAAGTAATATGGTGCACAGAACAGATGTTAGTAAATATTAAGTAAATATTCTCGTTAGAATTGCATCCCGAAAAGCCACAAACCAACTGAACTGATCAGCACATTTTGTACTTCTCTTCAAATTGTAGACTGCATCCTGAGCTTGATCCGCATCACTCAAATAAAATTCCTTCTCACAACTATGACCTTTCACCTTTCACAGATGCCCAATACTCATTCATTTAATTTTACTTATGCATAATGAAATTATTATTTCTTTAAGAAGACAAAACGGTGGCGTAAAATTGTTCAAAGTAAATGGCAATGAGTAGTTAGTGTGCCTTATTTGCAGTTATGTGTGTTTTTAAAATGTGCTTGGACTGAAATGCACCAGCTTTTGTTAAAAAAAAAAAAGTTTGAATTGATGAGAAATCATTTAAACTTCATGTCGCATGGGCTGCGCCGAAATGAAAACAGACAAATGGATGTCAAACAGACATAACACTAAGCATAAAAGACAAAGTACTCACAGTTTCTTCAAAGCAAGGCAATTAATGTGTGCTCAGGATGAATTTCGCCAGCTCTTCCCCCTGTAGATTCATATCTCTGTTAGGAAGAGGAGAAAGCTATGAGCTCCCATTCAGTGCTGTTTGGGGAACCCGGTTATATCTCTCTCAGACTGTCCAATTTACAGTTGAGCCTCAGCCTTAAGCTCAGGCTATAGCTCGGGGGGACAGTCCCAACAAGCGGGCGCTCACTGCCTTATTCGGCCACAGTCTCTGCTCCCTAAGTATGCGTAGTTAGCCCGTCTGAAAAAAGGGTCCAGGCTGTGCAAGGCCTGAGACATTGAAAGGCAATCTGGACCCCTGCAATTCTCCAGCTCAACTAGTCTGCTGCTTATGAAGTCCTTCAATGAGAAATGTTAGCAAACAGGCATACAGCATGTCTGATGCATGCAAATAGCACAGGGGGTTCAGTCCCAGCCTCGGCTGAGCGCATGAATAATTCAGCTTTCTATATGCTCCCTCATCACACCCTGTGCCCTGAATCAGATGTCTTCACTTTAAATAAAAGTGTCTAAGTATTACATTTACTCTTTTAACAATAAATAGAATCACACAATAATAACTGTTCCATTCAAAGGACACAGCATGTAAAACGAGGAATACTCTGATGCATAATTCTAATTTTTTAGACTCAAAATGTATTTTCTCTGTTATCGAGTTGAAATTTATTTTGTCCGGAGTTGGTACCTGTCCCAGAAAGTGCTTTAGATCGGCTCTTCACTCATTCTCTTTAGTCAGAGAAGTAAAGAGGGTAAGTGGGAGACACAGAGGGGTAGATTACGGTAAGACATGCAAAGGAAATAAGGGGAAAACTGACGGAAAAAAAAAACATGGTACGGAAGTCCATGCATGTCAAAATTGCTGATCTTGGACAATTCTTTTAAAACAGAAACGTACAACCATCTTTAGACACACAGGCTCTTGTTGCCATTCACAGTGGTTGTCCAGACCACGACCCTACCGCAAACAGGTTACCCGAAATGGCGCCCAGGTCTCTTATCCAACGTAGAAACAGATTTAACTCCCCCAAAAAGAAAAAAAGTTTAAATCAATCCAAAAGAAAACAGCGGAAGCTAAGAAATACTACGCAAAAAGTTAGAACATTTCATTCATTTGTTTTAAAAAGAATATGAAAATTAACGGCGTAAAAACATGAATCCGAAGACATGCAAAAATCTATGTGACGAAATTAAGGTGAAAGGCCCTTTAAAATATCAACTTGTTGCCTGGTTTTGCAGAGCTGCTGCTGTGCAGCTAGTTGGAAGCAGAGGGTTAAAATCCAGCTAGTAGTGAGGGAAAAAAAAGAAAAAAAAAGAAAAAGCAGTCCAGCTATGGAAGGGCGGGCTACAGGGAGGCCCTGACTGGAGAAACAGCAGCACTTTTTTCCATCTCTCTTTTTCCCTCGCAAAGCTTAAGTCTCCCCCTTGTGTGAAGCTGAAGCAGAACGATAGGAGCAAATGAAAAAGGGGAAGAAGAAAGACGAGGGGTGGAAAAAGGAGAGAGAGAGAGAGAGGGGAGGAGAAAGCGAGAGGGGGCTCCACTGATGATGAAATAGAAGGCACAGCGGAGTGCGCAAAGCCGTCACTTTTTCATCACATGTCCAACACTGCAAGGAACTGTATTTGCACTGAGGAGGAGGAGGTAGAAAGGGAGGGGGAGGGAGAATAAGAAGGGTTGGGACATGTAGATATAATAGGAGAGAGAGAGAGAGGGGCAGAGTCTGGATGTGGGAGGGACTCCATCAGTACGCAGGCGCAGTGCTCCCACTCCTTCTGGGATACATGATACAGTACCTCTGCCTTACTGTATATCAACTTGTGGAGGGAAAAGGAAGGGGAATAAATAAACAGGGGGAGAAGATGCACGGTGGAGGGATCTGTGAAACCAGTAACCCTTCTCAGAGCCTGAATTCTTAACCTCGTCTCATATGGTGAAGTTCTTGTTGCTTAAACTCATGAATCGGACGGCCTCATGCTTTCCTTTTTATAATCATTCTTTTAGCGCGAACAACCAAATATATTGGCAGAAAAATGACTTGCAAGCATGGAGAAGGTTAATTTCAGTAACATGTGCCCAGGAATGTTGCTCTGGATAAGAGCCTCCTCCTTCTCATTACACCCCCCCATCCTGTACTGCCTGACCTATTCTCTGTCACAAAATGAAACCCTTCTTGCACCTCTTCAGGCACATAGTAAAAATCATAACTATTCCTTTTTAATTTATCTTTTTTTTGCTGTTTTATTTTCTTGAGGACAAACAGCAGCTGTCCAGCACCCAGCACCCCCACCTCCCGGGGTCCAAAGGTTTAAAAAGTTCAGAAAAAATTCAATGAAGCACCTTTTGGGGGTGAAACCAATCAGCCCCTTCTGAGATAGAGAAGTAGGTCTACATAAATAATTTTTCTGCACTGATTTACATGAGGAGTGGGTGAACCACAGAAAGGGGTAAAAGAAAGGCGGGGGGTAAAAGAAAGCATGGGCTGCTTCCACCATCTTAGTCTGTATTGATCATTCTTTGCTCTCACACATGCTAGCCCTTCTGTCCCTCCCTCTCCTCCTGCCTGTTCTTTCACCTTCTCTCCTCCATCAGCTCTTTTTTTGGGGTGCTTTTTCCATTTTGTGCTAGATTACTGTAACGCTATTGTACAACAACTTCCTGCCTCTTTTGGCTCCGCTTCTAAAAACACTGCGAAAGGGCAGAGCTCGGGCTCAAACTTTTTTTTCCCCTTCCCTTCGGCCTTGAACGGGACCAGCTTCTATATGGAGAGGAAAAGGAGGAGACTTGTAAAAGAGTCTGTTACAGAGGAACTATACTGATTTCATTTCTGCTTTCTAAACTGCTGGGAGGGCAAGCAGGGACTGCATGCCTTGCAGAGACAATGAGAGGAAAATAAAAAGGTGGGGGTTCAACTTTTTCTTACTCTTTATGCTGTGAAAACTTTGTGTTGGTGTTGAAGGGTGCTGAGCTCTTTAGTAGGGCTCGAGCTCAAGTCGATTTTTCAAACATGGCTGCTACTGTCTGCAAAGGGGCTGCTTTCCATGCACCCCCACCTCCCCGGTTCGTTCTCACTGCAGAAATCACAACACCTCCCTTTGCACTTTTCTATGCTTAAATTCTTTCTGCGAATACACACGAAGATATGAGGTAAAACAAGAGACAAACAATTGCATCGTTTAAAGGAAATGTGGCAGAGAGAAAACATTTGTTTTTCCGTCCTCCTCACATCCATAGGATACGAGCTCGGTTGGACTTCTACACAAGCACAATTTATACACTGCTTTTAGAAAGGAGTACAGGAATACGTCACATCTCGCCATGAGTTTCAGCCAATTGAAAAATCCATGACTTCATTATGGTCTCGACGTATAAAGCTGTCATGTGTATATATGTTAGGGAACTCAAAATAATAAAAAAAGGGATGATAAAAAGGATTATGCAGGTTTAAATGATGGAGATATAAGGAGGACAACTTTTTGGATGTTTTGCTTAGTCTGCAGGCTGCACTTTACAGCAGCATGAAGTTCATCTGAGGATAGAGTTTTGGGTTTTGGTCCCTTGCCAGCTCTCACCACGGTGTTTTTCTATGTCGCTCCTCTGAAGCTCATCCAAGTTATTCATCATGCCCTGTATAGACATCTCTAATTGATAATAATCCCACAGGGAATAACATATTTTTTCAAAGAGATCTTACAACAAATGCATTTTTTGCAACTTTACGTTATTGTATTCCTAGTATAAAATAACAAAAAATCAAACACGCAACTGCTCCACATAACAATAATGATAGAATATATATATATATGTAAATATATATTACCAGAAAAAGCAACATGAAATAAAAAGACAGTAAAAGCCACGTCATAGCCCGTAAATGACAACTGCGATAATACAAAAAAGAACATAATTGCTATAATTTATTTAAAAAAAGAGGTCAAACAACTGTTTAAAATTGTGTTTATGCAATTAAAAATACGAGGACAAATTAAATAACATTAAATATAAAAAACTATGAATCATAAGATTGTATCAAAGGAAAAAAATAAGTGTTTTAAATGCTACGTTTTACTAAAGGAAATATTTTTTGCAAAAAATAAAAGACATAATGATTCTCATGTGATGGTATTCTAATTTTTATTTAATATGCTCTCCTTTACTATCAGGGGAATCACTCTAAACAGTTAAAGAAAATAGATTTTTTTCCTTTTAGCAATAGGTAACAACATTAAAAGTTCTTTTTCCAAATAAAACAATATAAACTGAGTGAAATAGGAGCTATATTTATTTCACAGGTGATGAAATAAATCCCACCACTACCAAATCTACATCTAAACATATATGGATCATAAAAGCACACAATTCTCACTCAGGGGGGATAAAAGTTAACCGCAGATACTACTTTCTAGGAACGGGAGCACAAAGTGCGGTGGTCTTGGTTAAGCCCTGCACGTGTCTAAACGACTTCTCTATTGCACTTGAGACCTCTGGGGGCACTCCCCATCGAGCAAGGAACAAAGGCCGTGACCCCGGGGTCAAAAGTGTTACATGGGAGGCTAAGCAGGCCCATTCACTTCTCTGCTGCTGTTTGCTTTAAGAAGGTAAAGATTACGAACACATTAACTATTACCGATTAAGGGGTGATCCCTCAAGGGAGCTGGGTCCCAGAGAAGCACATCACATCCTATTAACACAACCTGACCTCTGACCCCGCTTGTCATCCTTCAGCGGTGGACCGTGACCACTGCTTTCTGCTCTCTGTCTGACAATCCAGGGACGAAAATGAGGAGTAAGAAAGAATCCCTGCAAGGTGCAGAACATCACTACGTTTCAGGGTTATCACTGTATTGTGTTTGCATTGGAAATGATCCCTGGTTTCAGATCAAAGGGCTGGAATCAGCAGCCTGTGTTTTTATTTTTCATCCTACTGCGAGTAAATTTAACACAGGAATTAACCAGAGTCTAAATGAACAATCTTTCCAAATCTGCGGGCAGGAGAAGAAGGCTTCAGGTTCATGAAATGGTTGCATGAGCAGAAAAGCTTTCAACACAAAATGGAGGACAGGAGACATGCGCAGGAGGGATGTTCCATATATATCTTATACTGATAATGGTTTTGTAGTGCTCATCAAGGGCAAAAGGGTTGTTTTATCAACTACCTGGTTGCATCTAAATATTGTTTTTGCATCAGGGAACTGATAAAAGGAAGCTATAGGGCGGATTTTACTTAACCCTTAATGTGATCAGGCACTGCAGCTCCACTCCAGCTAACAGTGGAGGGAAATTTAAAGAGACCCTTTCCAGAGCAAGTTTTGTCTGTTTAGAATTTTTTTAAGTGTTTGTTTTGAAAAAATGCCTATTATTGGATGTTAGTGGATCAGGATTATAGATTTAAAGGCTTATTGGACTATCTGTCAATTGTTCTGGAATTTTTTGTTAAAATACAGACGAAACAATAAAATTTAAATAGAAGCTTATTAGGCTTCGTTTATTAAACTTTATATTCCTTGTTGCATTTTTTGTAAGAAAGCGTAAAGCTATTACTCTTATAAATTTAACACAAAAGAATCTAAAATATTTTTTATGACAATTTTCACATCATATATAACAATTCCTCATTTCCCTCTTTCTTTATTGGAAGGTGTTAAAAGGAGCTGACAATCAAAAACAAAATCATGATGCTGATTGGGAAAAAAATAAGCAGAAGAAATATTTTCAAATGCAAAAATTTTCTTTTTTAATTTTTTTTCTGTATTCCTTTCTGCAATATTAAATATCAGTAAAAGATGACTTGTTTTTAAACAGTTAAAAATTGAAAAAATAAAAGGAAAAATATTAAAATATTTGAATAGCCCTTGTTGTAAACTATGCCTTAAACAGTGATGAATCTTTGTAACTTTATACACTTGATATAATTTAAAGAACAAAGTGTAAAATAAAAAACATTTTCTACTTTTGAAAAAATATTTTAACAACAAAAAACACTAAAAAAGAACAAAAAACCCTGATAACATCGACTTTCTACTGTATATTTTTGAAATTACATTTTCTAAACTTTTTTTTTTTTTTGGGTGGGTGGGGTGGGGGGTGAAAATGAAATACATTTTTAAGTTAATATATTTTTTTTTATTTAAAGTGCAAAAAAAAACTTATA